CAAAAGTTTATAATCAATTATGAAGACACCATTGCAGCTACATATACAATATTTAGCTCATTTTAATCAGTGTATATTCAAGCCATCAGTTTATCTCAGCAGTTTAAAATACGCCATTAACGTATTTAAACTCATTTTGAAATACAAAGTTTTATCTTTGAGGAACCATTGCAGCTACACACTAATATTTACGCTCATTTTAATCAGTGTATATTCAAGATCAACATTCATGTATAATATTCTTCTGGGAGCTCATGTTTACGAAAATACAGGCCATTTACGAAAACGTTATTTTCCAACTCATTTGTGAAATACCAAAGTTTGTTAATCAATTATGAAGGAACCATTGCAGCTACACACTAATATTTACGCTCATTTTAATCAGTGTATATTCAAGATCAACATTCATGTATAATATTCTTCTGGGAGCTCATGTTTACGAAAATACAGGCCATTTACGAAAACGTTATTTTTACAACTCATTTGTGAAATACCAAAGTTTGTTAATCAATTATGAAGGAACCATTGCAGCTACAAACTAATATTTGCACTTATCTTAATCAGTGTAAATTCTAGATCAACTTAAAAGTGTAACATTCTTTTGGGAGCTCATTTTTACGAAAATACAGGCCATTATCTAACACGTTGTTTTCCTATTTGTTCCACAAAGTAAATATGTATATTCGGTTGTCTACACTTTAGGCGCAAATTAAATATCACATATTTTGTGACCGCCAGTTGCATCTGTTAGCAGTATTTCAAAGGTTGTAGTTCAGGCATTTTGGCGCTGCATAAAAACCATTTCGTTAAAAACGTTTTAATTTAAATAAACAAACATGTGAACATGATGCATGATCAAATGTAATGTTATTACTTCAGTTTAATCATTTAAATGCTAATTAGTTTTCGAATTATATGCATTTTAATTATTACAAGCAGATGCATCTGTCGGAATTTTCAGGAAATAGTCTGTATGTGTGGTTGCACACTTCTACGGGGGACAAAAGTTTGAGAATCACTTATCTACGATATAATGTAATTGTTATAAACGAAACAAAATAATTTATTATTAAAGTTAACGATGAGATTAAAGTAATTAAAGTTATAACTAATTGTCAGAAATTATCTTCTGCATGCTGTTAAGGGAATCCAAGATCTCCTTGTGATTTCTCTCAATTTTCTTGTCCTGTTCTTTCAGATGATTCAACAGTTCGTTCAGAGTTGCATTCTTTGACTTCTTCCTCCTACCTCCACCTCCTCCACCAACGCCGCTCCTCATCTTAATCTCCAAGCAATTCGAGATAACGTTTTCATCGAAATCCGATTCGTTCTTGAGGATCACCTCGTTGTTCTCGTTCTCGATTATGCTCATCGATTGCATCGGCGACACGCAGATCTCCTTCTTGACGATCTGATCCGGAAGATCGGTTAACACAGCATCATCCTTCTTGGTCATAATCTCGTGCATATTGTTGAAATGCACCCAAGTGATCTTGCACAGATCCTTCTCCGTCTCCAAGATGCTCTTGTACCTCTGGATGAGATTCTGCCAACACTTGCTTATCTGCTCGATGGAGTAGTTCTGTCCACCAGGCAACAAATTCTGAATCATCCTATAACAAAAAAAAAACATAGAAATAATTACAAGTTTATTATTGTCTTTAAATCTACTTACATCCATCCTTTCTGCGCCGCGTATTTCTTTCCCGTGAACAGATGACGATAGGCGTAACGCAAATGGATTAAAATGCTGGTAAACTTCTGCTTCTTCACTACAAATAAACAATGAAAAGAAAACTTTTTCTAACAGCAATAAATCACAAGAAGTTACTCATGTATTCGGCATAATCTGAAACGTAACTCTCGTCGCTTTCGCTTCCTTTCTTGCACTTCGATCTGGTCTCTACTATGTAAGGATTTCTCGAATAAGCACGATCTATTTGCTCGAAATACGGCCAAGTTATCGCCTCCGAGTTTCCAGCGAATTTCAAATGCTAAAATCAAACAATTAGTCGAAGTTGAATACAAATTAAACGTTTCAAAAGTGACCTTATATCTAGCAATCAGATTCATCCATTTCTTCTTAATCTTATCCAAAGTCACGTAAGGAGGCGCTCCAAGATCCATCATCTCTTGCAAAATATTCCTAAAATCAACAAGAAATCATTAAATTTTCATACATAATACAACATGCAAAGTGAATTACTTCCAAGCTTCTGCAGCAGAATTTCGCTTCCTCGTGAAAGACTTTGCGTACTTCATACGCAGATTGATCAAAATCTGAACCCACTCTTGATTCACTATAACAAAACAAACATTGAATATGATTAGAAACGAAGTAGGAATGTTTGCAAATTAATAAACGCACATCTTGGCTCGTAGTTTTTGATGTCTTCCATGATCTCGTTACCTTTCTCCATCGATTCCAATTGGACTCTTCTAGTGCACTAGCAAAGTGTCAAAACTTTAAACTAATTACGCTTTTATTATTAAACAAAACAACATCCGCAAACAAGTCTACTAAACGAATAGTATTAATTCAAAACTCGACAATTCCCATTGGCTAAAACTCCCAATCTACATCAAATGAAAATAAATGAATCTTAAAAGAATTAACACACTTGTCACATCATTGTTTTATATTAAAATTGTAAAGTTGTAACGAAACATGCAATCTTTGAATTTTTAAATTTGAATTTACAAGCATTATAAGTTGCATACCTCAACCTCCTGTTAACAAATTTGAGCTTAAGGAAGCTAAATAAACTTTCTGCAATGATTATTATAAGTTACTAGGTAATTTTTATATAATAATTTAATTGTATATAAGCTTATTAATAGAGTTTTTTAAAGTAAATTGAGATTAAATCAACTTTAAATTTCTTTGTGTTGGTGATTCTGTATTTTGACAACTAGTGTTCCTCCATGTAATTCATTCCTGTATCAATATTAATACATTCCTATTAGAGAGAAAAAAAAATCAATTAATTAATTAAAATTTATTTAACTTATTAAGCTACAAAGTGCAATAGAATGGAGGATCTAAGTTGGTCTGGTGAGAGCAATCGCTTCTGTTTGTAATTGCATCAATTCATGTGAGATTTTTCTTTGCAGAGGCCCGAGACCTTTTCAGGACTTGGAGGGAAACGAACGCCAGGAAAAGCAACGAGGTGCTCTACCATTGGCATCTCTCCCTGAACATTAACTTGAATAAGCTCGGCAATGAAAGTGTGTGTGTTTGAATTTTTGTCGAGTTGTCTGTATAATTTGGTTATGTTTTAGAATTTCTGATCGTCGAGCAAGTGTGCATAGCGGCTTTCGATTGTTATCAGCTGGACGTGGCCAACGAGTGCATAAAGTTGCTGTCCAGTGAGTTCCCTCAGAGCCTTCGCGTGAAGAAGTACAAAGCAATGAGATACGAGGCGCAGGAGGATTATGTGAAAGCTTTGGAGATCCTCGATTCCATAATCAAAGCTGACAAGTCGAACAGTGCACCTAAGAAACGCAAGATTGCTATACTGAAAGCGCAGGGAAGATATGTGGAGGCAATCAGGGAATTGACTGACTATTTGAAAACGTAATTTTTTTATTAAGTTTATTTTAGCGTAAATGTTTTCATGCATCTTTTTTGCAGGTTTATGGCAGATGCTGAAGCTTGGCAGGAGCTGAGTGAACTTTACATCGGTGAGCAGGATTTTGCTAAGGCTGCTTTCTGTGTGGAAGAACTCATTCTGCACAATCCGCACAATCACTTGCTGCACCAAAGATACGCGGACATCAAATACACGCAGGGCGGTTTTGATAACATGGAGCTTGCCAGGAGTTACTACTGTCAGGCACTCAAATTGAATCCCACAAATATCAGGGCTCTGTATGGACTGTATTTGGTATATGATCTGGATTGGAAATCCTGCAGCAATTATTCATTGAATTTAATTTTTTTGCAGACTTGCACGAGTATTGCGACGTCCCAGAAGGCGTCCGCGCAAAAGAAGAAGGACGCGATTAAGATGTCCGAGTGGGCTCTGACCAAATTGAAGGGAAGCTACAAGGAGAAGGGCTTTGAGACCGATCTAGAGTCGAGGATGTCCGCGATGGCCATCAATTAAGGAATAATAGGGAACTAGGTGTCAATTTCTTTATTAACTTATAAATAAATTGTGTTGAAAATAACAATAAACCATATGTTTTAAGTGGATTATTTGAAGAAACACGGGTAAAGAGTAGTCAGGGAAAAGAGAGCCAGGGCAAACAACTTTTGTCAGTTTCATTTTCTGTGTGTGTATTTATGTTGGAAAGTTCTGCCCTTTGCAGCGGTTTAGATTTTAAATAAATTTTAATTTGAATTCTTCAATTGATCTATGAGTACTTCTTCTTCTTCTTCTCCCATCCCACCTCTTCATTTGGCTTCCGCATTACGCGCCAATAAGCCAGTCCCTGTCTGTGTTCTTCGGATTCTTCGGATTTCCTCTTCGAATTTCTTCCTCCGCCAAGTGTCGTCACAGTTCCAATAAAACTATAACTTTATTCTTTCGCCCAAAAACTCGAACTAAAAAACTTCTTCTAATAAAACTAAAAATATAACTATAAATCCAACTTAAATTAAATTCCACCAAATATATATATATATAGGAGAGATACGGTACGACAGGTAGAAACAAAAGAAAGGTTACGGTTCAAACATAGAGAGATACGCACAGGTAAAAAAGGTTAATCAAACAAAATAAGTATTTCGAACCGGGGTCCCAGCGGTTCAGTACATAGGTTATAGGAGAGACCTCGGAAGGGTGTAAATTAGAGTAAATTAGAAATGTTACCANAACGTATTTCGAACCGGGGTCCCAGCGGTCCAGTACATAGGTTATAGGAGAGACCTCGGAAGGGTGTAAATTAGAGTAAATTAGAAATGTTACCAGATTTATATCATATTGATGCACTAGATGTTTTGATGAACTTTAGAACTGCTCTATAGACGCCAACGTTCTCAGATTGGATGAGACAC